CCCCCCCCCCACACACACACACAAAACAAATTCTAAAGCAGCATTTCAGTTTCATGAATTAAAATCCACTTTATGCAATTTATGTCCATTTTCAGCCCTCAAGTGATTAGTTTTTTCCTCTTTATATTGTTCATAACAGGCTACAAAAGTATTTTTGTCTGATCTGTACCTGCTTTTTTTAATTAAATGTAAAAAATCACAAGATAAGAATTTATAGTTCAACTTAGATTTTCATTTTTGTCCATTCAACATATGAAAAACGAMGTTTACGCTCCAAAAACTGAAAACATTCCAGTCACTAATCAAATACATTATTTTGTCAATTGAAATTACTGAAGTTCTATGATTTAGTTGATTATATTTATCACTTGTTTCAGGCTCATAAAAACACATTACCTTCAAACATCCAATTCAATTTTGTTAAAAGAGAGAGTTGTTACAATTTCAAGTTGATAGAGATGTTTGTCAAACCTAAATTAAAAAAAAGTTATTTGAAAATTATTGTTTGAATAATATTTTAGGAAAGAAAGGGGGCAGATGTGATTTTTTTCTTCTTTCTGCTGCCTTTCATTTAATTTGTGATTTGTATTTCCTGTAAGAAATATTTTTTAAGAAACGTATAAACTTTAACTAAACTAAATCAAAATAATCAGAATTTTCAGAATTTAAAATTCTGACCAATGTTTTTTATTTTTGACAGTTCTTTCTCATATATATATATATAAGGATTATATATAAGGATTAATAAAATGTCCAAAATGAATGCATTAAATACATTATTTGGGGAATCAGGTTCATTTATCTTCTGCTCTTTTCCCAGACAGTTCTGTTAAATTTATACATTATTAAAGTCTGAATAACAATTGCAATAAATAAAATAAAAAGTACAACTCTGAGGTWTAAGCAGAAGTTAGTCTGATGCTGCAGTTTCTCCTCAGGTGTTTCTGGACAGGTCCAGTTGAATTATTACAAGTACACAGCAGGTCACACAACATTAACAAGTGTGGAGAAACACAGCAGGACCCGGACTTACTTGGTGAACTCGGTCAGTCCTTTCAGGAACCAGGCGGAGTTGCGGTACAGAGACATGCTGTTGCTCTGGGAGCGTCTCGCTGCGAGTCTCTCTCCTCTTCTTTTACTCTGGACCAGAACCACACGTGGTCCTGCCCCTGCAGAATAAACGCCTCTGGACCCCCCAGAGYCCACCGGCCACCCAGCGGCAGCCAGGTCACATAACAGAAAGTTTTATCAAACCACAAAATGTTCAAACGGTGCTGGTTTTCACAAAATAAATAAATAAATAAATAAATAAAAAAAATTAAAAAGATGTGGTGAGATACTTGAACTTATACTCATACTTTGAGTTACTTTACTGAAGTGTATCAAGGGTATTTAAAAGGTAAAAAAAAAAATACTATCAAAATACTGTATCTTCATCCGTCTTCACTTTGCTCAGTGTAGTACCCGGAAGTTCCACTGGAGCCAATCAGCTGCCAGAGTGCAGCTGGGCGTGGCTCAGACGACTCACCTGTGTGCCTTTTCCCGGTCTCCTGCACAGTATTTATTTTGTTTTGTTTTCTTTTATAAACGTCTTTTCTTCTTTTTTTATCTTTATTTACAATTTTTCATCTCTCCTACAAACATTTCAACTGTATTGAGAAAGTTTTGTAGTGCATTTAAGAAAATAGGATACAAGATAAAAATAAACACAAATAAAATAATTAAAACTAAAATAAAATAAAAAACCATAAATGCGAGTTACAGATAGAAATGGGTTTTTGTATTTTGAATCTGAGATTGTATCAAGATACAATGTCACATCCACTACAAAGAGACTGTTCCAAATGTGTGTTCACATGTGCAATGGGTAAAATGCAGAGAATTAACTTCCCCATCAGGGGATGCCGTGTATAAAATATAAATAAAAAGTAAAAAAAGAAGTTAAATAGAGGATTTCTGTGTTGTTTTATGAAAAAGCAAGAAACAGAGATTTCATCTTAGAATTTGTGATACTAAACAAAACATTTTTGGAATACAGTGAAAGGTTTGATATTTGGAGATCAGAAGGTCTCATGTGAGCAAGTTTACAGAAAGAACAGCAAATATCTAAATCTAAAGCTTTATATTTCCAAAGTGTTTGTTTGGATAAAATTTGTGAATTAAAAGGAAAACTTTATAATTTTTTAAGGAATTTTTGAAATGATCATTATTATTTTTTTTTTTTTAGGATTTCAGAACCAGAATCTCTTGACATACAGTATGTACAATGAATTTGACCTGGTGAGAGCACATGTGAAGACATGAAACAAGCACACAGAAAGTTGACACTGAAGCTGACTCTGGTTAGCTGTGCCCAAGAGCAAAGAGGTTAGAACTAATTTTGCCAGTTTGTACTTGTACTACAAAGTAATACTTGGAGTTTTACAAGAGTGCAAAGTGAACAACGAGCTGCACAATTTATTCAGAATTAAAAGTGAAGGTCAGTGTCAGCCCCATCAACACTGCTCTGTTTCTTGATTGAATAAATGTGTTGATTTTTCTTAATCTTTCCAACATTTATTTTTTGAAAAAGCAAAGCAAAAAACAAAAAAAAAATCTGTCACTTTATTGATACAAAGATTCGGGTGAAGCCTCTTCCTCCGAGGCGTCCGTGTTATCATTTTCACCTCGCTTCTATCTCCCCCGCTTTCAGCCGATTGTCGACCTCAGCCATAAGGCTTTCAGTTTCTGTAGTCTTGGTGAAACACCAGAACCTAAGAAAGAAAAAAGAAAAATCAGATTATCACAAATACCGGTAGATGCCATTACACATTTCATCTGAAAACTAAAATTATTCAGAGCATCATAAATGACCACCTCCTTGCCAGTTCGTTTACGGACCCCCCAGATGAAGACTTGACCAGAGAGTGAGCAGGGGAGTGGGAACGCAGTCGCCCCCAGGAGAGGAGGCACCTCTCCTCTGCGGGAGAGAAGTAGTGATACTACTCCTGCAAGTGTTACAGCAGCAGTGTCACACCAGGCCAGCCGGTCCCAGCCGGTCCACGTCTCCAGGGGCAGGGCTCTGAATTCATCAAACAGGTCAGTAAACAGTAAGTGGTCCTCACAGCTGGACCCTGAAGAGGTCTTAAACCTCATTGTTCATTGAGGACTGCTTGGTGCTAACCTGGAGGTAAAATCTGTCTGTGGACAATTTTTGTGCATTTTTATGCTAATTAAAGATTTTTCAACTATTTTATCTATTTTTCTGCTAACTTTAGCTGTTACCCCAACAAATTACTTCTTTTTTGTAAAAAATTTCTTTGTGAGCTTTCTTTACTCTCCATTCAAATGTCTGTCTGCTAGTTTCAACTTGTTTCTATTACTACTTGTGTTGTTCTTTCAGCTGTTTGAACTCACAATAACTCTTCTGCTGTTAAACATTTTCAGCTTGTGCAAAGTGYAGAAATACATGATCAAAAAAGTTCTTCACTACAATGGTCTCTGAGTAATTTTATTGCAATAAAATGAGAGTCAACATGCATWCAGCAATACAAGTTGAGTCTGGGGACATAGCCCCAGTGAAGCATCTTTATACATTTAGCAGAAACCAGTCCCAAAACTGGTTATTTCTGACATGCAAGGAGTGGTTCTTCATCTGAGCAGCATAAATTCCTAGTTTCTGTTAAAACTTGTTCTGTGGTCCTTAAACAGAGGAAAACGCCTTAGAATGTGGTTATACTTACTATTTCATTGTACATGTTCATATTCCAATAATAACAAAACAAATAGTTCTGCAATCCAGTTGTGCAGAAACCATGTGTGTGTGTGGTTTAAACTGGAACAAGAAATTACACTTTTAAGGTGCTCTACCGGAAGCTTACATCAGTTGAAATGATTCAGAATATATCATGACAGTAAGCATACAATACATTTATAAGTAAAACAAGAAAGAAACACAAGTAAAATAAAAAGAGAGAAGAAAAATGTTTCTCCTACATTCCCCCTGAGATGCTTCTCCTCCAAATACTTTCAGCCAAATGAAGTTACTGTAGAGAAAGTCCTGCCCCCAGCAGACTCCTCCTACTGTGATGTCGTTCTGACTCCACCCCTAACAGATCCCTACTACTATGATGTCACCCTGAGTCCACCCCCCTTTACAGCTCAATACTTTTTATTTTATAAAAGTTATTTCTATTCAGTAATTAAACAACATTTTAGTGACTTTTGTTATTTTTACTCATTAGTTTTGTTTGTGCTTCAGATTAGTGAACAACATTTCTCTTTAGGTCTACCTGCTTTGTTCCTAAAAATAAAACTGGTATAAATTAAATTATTGCATTGAAAGCTAAACTAACTGTGTAACTCCCTCCGAGTCGAATAACGGACACAAGGTGTTCTACAGGTCTACTGACATTTATTTTGCATATACGTGCAGGCAACCATGCTGTGAGAACTGTATAAATAACACAGTTACACAAGTTTGTAAAAGTTTCAACTGTAAACTAATTGCAAAACCWGTGAAATTTCATAAATCTACATATCAAACACACTACATAAAATGTGACATCATGTCTTTTTACTGTGATTGATGTCAAGACCATATACAAAACAGCAAACTCTCAATTTAAATTGGGAAATATTTAAAAGGTGGTATTGAAGTACATGAAACCTAATTAAGAAATACTGTATATGGTGGATCATTTGATATCCACACACACACACCAGATGCTGAGAGAATTAGTTCAGCCATTGCTCTCCTTTCCTTGGCCATGTCTTTCTTAGCTGTACTGAATGCGAGGGTTGGCAGATCGGGAAACGCCTTCTTTACTTCCTTGGCAATCTAAGAAAGCATCAAAGGTGTAAACTTCCACACTACACATATTCTGACCATAAACAAACAAAAATAAAAATGAATTTTTATTTTTAACTGATCAAAGTACAACTTACATACATACTTTACTTATAGATTTACTTACCATTACAACAATAACCCCACAGCTGGTCCCATCCTGCTGACAAGGATGGTCCATGACGTCCCCTTTCCACTTCATTTTGACCCAGTCAGCTTGTCCCATTGATGTATTTTGGACTTTGAGGTAGTCACTGTAAAATGTCCACAATGTCTTAAGTAACAAAAACACACAATCTATAATCACTTTAAATTTAGTAATACAACAAACGTCTGTCACATTAAAAAATAATTTAAATACTGTGCTACATCACACATATTCAGTCATTACTTTTCTGACTAACTTTGCCTATAATTTACATTTTATTCTWGTCATTTTATCTAACATTTCTTTTTATATGCAGCATTTCCCCAGACTCCACGTTTTGTTCTTGTTTACAACAAAGCTTTTGTAAAAAAAATTAAAAAAAAAACAATACAGACACCCAACAGTGCTTTTTAACTTTATTATAAACAAAAGAATATGCAGTTTGTTGAATACAGAGCACATTGTGAGTGGAGCAGTATGTATTTGTAAATTTGAGCCTCTCTAGAATGTAACTCGGGTGTGTACGATAATTTTCCTCAAAATACGATAATTTTGAGCTGCTGACACGATATTTCAACATTTCCCATCTGGCAACACTGTACAGCCCCGTCCAGGGAAACACGGTTCATTTTTCTGTTGTACAGTACTTTGTTCACCCGCCCATGGAAGGAAAAACAAAATATGAGGAATAACAGGAGGAATGATGAGGATTTATCCTGCCTGGCACCTTTTTTTAAAACTTCTCTGCACGTGGCAGCGTGCACAGCTGCAGTGCAGGTGTACAACCAGGAAGTGTTCATCATTAAAGTCAAGGTAAGAACCTCGTAGTTAGTGGGAAGACATGGAAACCTGATGTTTTGACTTGGATGTTTACAGAAATATTCATTTATCATATTAATGTATTGTTGACTGAATAATGAA